TTCAGTTTTTCCTCTACTTCCCTTACTTGCTTCTCAAATCCCTTTTGAGCTCTTCCAAGGCCTGGACTGATTCATATTTTTCTTGGAGGCTTTGGATGTAGGAGCTTTGACTTTGTTGTCTTCTTCTGGTTGTATATTTGATCTTCTTTTTCACCAAAGTAAGATAATATAGTCTGACTCTTTTTGCACTGCTTGCTCATGATCCTGGCCAATTACTTGAGTTTTAAACTCTTTGTTAAGGTATGAATCTGCTTCCAATGTGGAGAATGTACTGTCCCAAGCTTCGGGGGTTTGTATAGCTGTTTTCAGAGATACTTGTAGGGCCCTGTAAATTTTCAGTTCTTCCAAGGTGGTATGATAAGGGGCGAGGTGTTTACTCCTTTCCTGGCCTTTGAGCACAGGTATTCCTTTCTGTCCTGTAACTGTGAGGAGGGGTTCCTCTCGATAGCTACTACAAGCTCCACCATGCCAATGCTCCTCCTCACCCCAGCACCGCTGCCCAGAGCTGTGACCCAGATCCAAACACAGGCAAAGCAAAAGATTCCTGCCTCAGCACTGGCAAAGAGATCCCTGCAATCCCTGTCTTATCAGCCACAGGATTCCCCCTCAGTCTGTGGGCAGTAAGCTCAGGAAGCAGCTGCCACCGCCCAGGGCCACGCTCTTGGGGAATGGAGCTGAGACCCCACCTTTCTTTTTCAGCACCGACAGAAACAGACTTTTCCCACTGACCTTCTAAGTTGTCTTTGGCATTTGTGGATTGAGGAGTCTGGAAACCGCCACAGCTGCCCTAGATTCAGTCCTCTGAGGCCAGCTCCAGGTTCGCTGCAGCCTGTGCGCCCACGCCGCGCTGTGCTGTGCTCCCAGCCCCGCGTGATACACCTTTCTGATCAATCATCCAGGTTGTCTTGGGCTGGAAATTTGTTTCACTCTGTCTTTTTGTGGGTTCTGCTGCTTCAGAATTTGTTTAGAGCCATATTTTATGAGTATTTGGAGGGGTTTGGAGGAGAGCTCAATCAAGTCACTGCTTTCACTCTGCCATCTTGGCTCCGCCCCCTTAAGCTCAGAAATTTTTTTAAAAAGCACTTAAAAATAATTCACTGGGGCAACTACAAATTATGTTTAATAGCATGTTATCAAGTATTTCAATGCCACAAATTTACAGGAAAGGAGTAAACATATTACCCATGATCATACCACCTTGGAAGAACTAAAAATTTATAGCTCCCTAGAAGTATCTCTGAAAACACCTGCACAAACCCCCCGAAGCTAGCACAGTACATTCTCCACACTGGAAGCAGACTCCTACTTTAACAAAAAGTTTAAAACTCAAGCAAACTGTGCAAAAAAGTCAGAAGACAGACTTATTTTGGTGACAAAGAAGATCAAAATATACAACCAGAAAAAGACAACAAAGTCTAAGCTCCTACATCCAAAGACTCCAAGAAAAATATCAATTTGTCTCAGGCCATGGAAGAGCTCAAAAAGAATTTTGAGAAGCAAGTAAGTGAAGTAAAAAAAAAAACTGGGAAGAGAAATGAGAGTGATGCAAGAAAATCATGAAAAACAAGTCAACAGCTTGTTGTTAAAGAAGACCCAGAAAAATTCTGAAGAAAACCAAGATAGAGAACTGGTGAATTGATATTTGTTCTGAGAAGCATTAGGGAGCCACTGGAGTCCATTCGGTAGGTGAGTTACGTCATTGCATCTGTACTTAAGGTAAATCCCTTTGGAAGCTAGATAGAGGATGAATTATTGTTGTAAAAAACTTGAAGGAGGGGAAGGCAATTAGTAGGCTGTTGCAATTATCTAGGTGAAATGCGAAAAGGTCCTGAATTAAGGTGGTAGCTGTATGAGAGACAAGGGATTAGATTAAATGTAATTAGTATAATGGAGATAGAAACAGCCAAGTTTGGAAAAGGATTGGATATGGAGAGTGGATGACAGCTGTCAAGAAAACATTCCAAGGCTATAAACCTGGGACACTAGAAAAAAATGATGGTGTCTTTAACAAAAATAGAAAAATTGGAAGAGGGATATGTTTGGAGTAAAAGGTAATCCATTTAAAAGAGTACTTTTAATCTGTATAAAGAATATTGATTTGAAAATGTTAGGTTTGAGATGTCTCTAGGACATCCAACTTCAATACCCAATAGATTGTTAACAATAATGGAAAATGGATATCTCTAGGTACATCATTGCTAGAGATCTGGACTTGAAGAGGGGAAAATCTGCATCTGATTGTTGTCTCAGATACTTAATAATTATGTTATTTTGGCCATGCCACTTAAACTCAATTTGCCTCAGTTTCTTCATCTGTAATATGTGAATTGGGGCACATGGGACTAGCACCTCTAGTATTAGCCCTTTTCAGGGCTATTCATCCAACTTTGTTATCTACCTGACACTCAACTCTCACCTGTGGGCTCTAAGAAACTGTAGCACGTGCAATGGCCATATCCCAGTAAGCTATCTTGGCAGATAAGCCTAACCAGGCTAAGTGTAACTGAGGGGTGTCGAACCTATTGGTGAGTTAGTGAGGTGTCCATGCCAAGTATGTGAAGATTTCCCCTTGAAGAATGGACAGATGAGAACAATTTGTTCTAATGGCTATGAAGGCACCTGAAGAAGGCAAGGTGGAGCCCTCGGAGCCTGGTCAGACATCAAAGATGCCAAAGTCATCCTCTGCCTCCCAGGCCATTGCCAGTTGTCTTGACTTTTGTCTTGCCACTGTACTGTGATGACTCTGGAAAAGAAAGCGAGGCTGATGACTTTGTACAACCATGCCTCACTTAAATGCAGCTTACACATGAGTTAAGATATCATCTGTGATGTCATCAGTCCTCTTTAAAAAATGAAGGAAAAACAATATGTAAACATCACACAGGCTTCCCCAGGGTTGTAAAGATGAAAGACGTAAAGCATTTTTCAAATCTTAAAGGACTGTATAAATGAGTTTCATAGTCTCATCAGCTCCCATGGATTCAATTATATCATCTCTGAACTGATAACCCCCAAGTCTTCTTATCCAGCCATAACTTCTCTCCTGACCTACGATCTTACTTCCTCAACTGCCTATTTAACTTCTCAAAATAGATGTATATAGGTGCGTATGTATATGCAATATGTAATATATGATATGTGTGTGTAAATGATCTGTATATACACCTATAAATGTAGTATATAATGTATATATATAATGTCCAGCTATTTATCATCTATTACCTATCTATCCATCTATCTACATCTATCTATCTATCTACATCTATCAATCAATCAATCTGTATCTCTATCTATCTATCTATCTCTGGATCATTTACACGATGTGTATAGCTTGTTTACAATTTCATAGAAAGCGTGAAATGTGGGTGGTGTGTGGGTGCTGACCTTGTTAGGAAAAATGTGTACTGTCACAGAGTCATTCAGTATTAAGTAACAAAGGGGAAAACCCCCCACAAAGATGATCTGTATTTGAATAATCACCATAGTCGTATATCAAGGTTAAGAAAAATAAGTTCCTTTTTTGATGAAATCTATTTTCCTTTTGTTTATTCTTATCATTTTTTAAAATTAAAATATTTTATTGGTGCTCAGTACTCTTATTTTTAGCATCAATGTTACTTCCAAGTATCTGCCCCAACATAAAATAGTAATGCTCACTAGTATCTCTATAGCACTTGGAGATTTGAAAAGTACTTAACATATATTTTCTTATTTGATCCTCTCAATAACTCTGTGAGGAAAGTGTTATTATTGCTATTTTAGAAATGAGGAAATTGAGTCTGAGAGAGGTTACATGACCTGTACAAGGTCACACATCATCTAAGGCAGGATTTGAACTTGGGTCTTCCTGACTGACAGCCTAGTACTCTATCCACTTTGGCACCTGGCAACAGTCAGAGTAGGCTCCCCCAGCACAACTCACCTCCATGCTTCTGACTCTGCCAAAACAAACAAATAAGTAAATCAAAGACAAGGCATACCTTACTCTGTACCTGCAGTTCACCACTTCTCTGTTGATAGGCAAGCTATCCCATCAATTGTTTGGAATCACTATTAGTGGCTGCACTGATTGAAGCTATTTCATTTCACCTTTGTCGTCACATATCAACATCACAATATCACATTTTATATTATTTCCACACCGATGAAAAAATGTTTCTCTGCTTCCCCCCGTAAAACAACAATACTGTTTACATATACAATTTAATAAATATAAATATATATGGAGAAGGGATTGAGAGAATTCATAAAGGAATAAGGGAAGGCTACATGTGGAAGATGGTGTCCATGCTGCATGTGCTGTAGAAAGAAATGATCAGGACCAGGAAAACAATTATATAATGACAACAGCATGACAAAGACAACATAAAAAAAAATCTCTGATCAATGAGATGACTGATCACAGTTCTAGATGACTAGTAATGAAGAATGCTACCTATCTCCGAACAGAGGCGTGAGGACTCAATACGCCAAGATATATAGAGCCAATCTGGGAATTTCTTTTGCTTAACTGTGCATTGTGTTACAAGGGTTTTTTTTTTAATTTCTTTGTGTTTTTCCCATTGGTTGAAAGGTGGAAGAGAAGAAAATAAATGTTTAGTATTTTTTTTTAAATTCCATTTAACTTTTAAAAGAAATAGACAATATGAGGCAGGGGTAAAGAGGGAGTACATTTTACACATATGGGAAGATATAAACTAGAGAATGGGAACAGCCAATAATTCAGGTTGGCTTTGATGTGGATTTCATGATGGTGGTGAGTCCAGTTCCTCATAGGAGCTTAAAATCAGCATCTCAAAGACATCTTCCAACATCATCTAGCTCAATCCCATCATAGTATAGAGGAGAAACCCAAAGAATAAGGAGACAAATGATTTGCCCAAACATAGCCAACAAAATATGAGTAACTTAGATGACAAGTGAGATTTCCAGAACCCAAGTTCTAAATCTTCCCACTGCCTCATACCTTTCTAATTTTACATACACATTTCTTTTTAAAGGTTGGTGTAGTTAAACTACTCTGAGACAAGCCTCCTCCCTCTCCACTTTCGAAGTATTTCATGGACAGCTTGAGGCCAATTCCAAACAGAAGGTACCCAACTGTTATTACTTTCCTGGAAGAAACCCTCAGAGGTAAAGTCTTCAATTATTTTTTTAGACTGTGCTTCATCCAGATTTAATTTCTTTTTCATATCCTCTTCAGCTCTCTGGTATTAGTGAGGTTCTTTGAACAAGGCCTATGGCTATTCATTGGTGGTGAGTCACTGTCAAAAGATCTGTCAAAAGAGGTCAATCTTGTTTAAAGAGGAGAAACTTATAAAACTGATGAATCTTTCCTTGAAATGCTAGGGTACTGAATGCTTGAGAAATGTAGATTTCAAATGTGAAATAATTATCCATGTTTAATGTCAAAAGACCAAAAGTGGCCCCAATAATTTTGTGAATAAAAGAACTTTCATTCCCCCAAGTCATCAAAAACTTATTTAAAAATGTAATTTATTTCTAGGGCCCATTTATTTAATCTCTTTGTTCTTTGCCTATTTACCTTTGAATTATAGTAATTCAAATAGAGTAGTTTTTATTATTATTATTATTATTATAAATTTCATTCAGGTGAAAAAGGAAGCATTTCCAAAATTCCCTTTTTATTTTATATCATAGTATTAGGAAAAAAGACAGACAGACATAGTCAATGGTGTAGTGGATAAAATGATGAACTCGAAATAAGGAAGACCTGAGTTCAAATCTAGTTTCAGACAATTCCTTACTGTATGATCCTGAACAAGTCACTTAACTGCTATTTGCCTCTGTTTCCTCATTTATAAAATGGAGATTATATAGGACCAAACTCTCAGGGGTCGTTATGAGGATCAAATGAGATGATATTTGTAAGAGTACTTTATACAAGCAATAAGAGCAAAACAGAAAGAAACACCCCACAGACCAGAAACTAAAAAGGATAAGAATACTTTGTAAACCTAATAATAATAATAATAATAATAATATAAATGCTGTTGTTCCTTAGTCATGTCTGACTCTTCATGACCCCATGGACCTTACCTTCCAATGGAGTTTTCTTGGCAAAGATACTAGAGTGGTTTGCCATTTCCTTTTCCACTGGATTAAGGCAAGCAGGTTAAGGGACTTGCCCAGGGTCACTTGGCTAATAAATGTCAGAAGCTGGATTAGAACTCAGGTCTTCCTGATTGCAGACCCCATGCTCTATTAACTGAGCCATCTACATTTATGCATTTGTGTGTGCAGGGGTGTATATGTGTGTGCCTCTTTGTGTGTATGTACACTATAGCATATAAATGCTAGCTATAATTATTTTAACTGCAGGGTTTAGATCTTACCTGGTTGCAATCTGTTTTGGTGAAGAGAAGTACTGAATCTCTAATTCTCCATACTTCAGAATCAGACAGCTACAGCTGGTAAGACCCTGAGAAGTCATTTAGTCCAACACTCATATTTTACAGATGGAGAAACTGGGGACCCAGAGAAATTCTATAACTAAGCCAAGATCATACAGGTAGCATGGGATTACAGCTCAGGCCTTATGATACAAGGTCCCTTCTTTTTTTTACTGTGTCTCTTGTTTCAAACCTCTCATAGATACTTTGAGTCTCTGCTTATTAATGGGAGCTATAATTCCTTTAGTTCCACTCTTTGTACTCTTAACATATGTATATCCTTCTTTATTTTATATACATGTATATATGTATATATGTATACATATATATGTATATATATATACACACACATACACATATGTATATACACATACACACAATTTATATATATATGTATATATATATATATATATATATATATATATACATATATACATGTGTGTGTGTGTGTGTGTATTTATGTAAGTTCCTGCTTCCACTATGCCATGCCTCTAACTTCTTTGTGTATAACTCATATGCAGCCTTTGGGAATTATTCTGTACTAATGTATCTATATTCATATTGTCTACCCCAATAAAACGTAAGCTACTTAAGGTCAGGGGCTGTTTTACTGGGGTGAAGGGGGATAAGCATTTATGTAGCACCTTCTATATGCCAGGCACTGTGCTAAGTACGTTAGAAATATCATCTCATTTTATCCTCATAACAGCCCTGGGAGGTAGGATCTTTTATTGTCTCCATTTTACCATTGAGAAAACTGAGGCAGGCAGAGGTCAAAGTGACTCGCTCAGAAACACAGCTAATAAGTGTCAGAGATGAGATTTGAACTCAGGTCTTCCTGACTTCAGTCCTGGAGCCCTATCCACAGAGCCACTTAGCTGCCCCTGGTTGTTTATTTCTCGCTTTGAATCTCCAACATATACCCAGTGCTTGACACGAAATTAGAAGAATATTAACTAACATTTATGTGGCATTCGTAGCTTGGCAAAGTCCTTTCTATACCTTATCTTACTTGATCAGTATAATAACCCTGTGAGTTAGGTGCTATTATTACCCTCATTTACAGATTACAAAGCTGGGACAAATAGTTCTTAAGTCTCTTGCCCAGGATCATACAACTAGTGAGTGTAAGAAGCAGGATTTAAATTTAAGTCTTCCTGAGGCCAAGCCCAGTGCTCTAAACACTAGACTACCACTGCATTTGCTTCTTAATAAAGCCTTATTAATTAATATTTAAGGAAAATAAAACCAGCACACATCAATATATCACCTTGCCATGAGTCTTTTCAACTTTCAAAAGGGAGGGAAGGGATGGGGTGAGGGCAAAGTAAGTAAATCTTCCAACACATGTTCCATGATTTTCTAATATGTTATTCTGGGAACAACAGCCCAAATGTGTAAGCCAATACTTTAGGCCCTCAGGCTCTCCTCAGCAATGAGATGCTTACCCAAGGGAATTGAGAAGCCAGAATGGAAAGTCCCCTGAAATCACTGGATAATCAGCTTTCCCCAAAGCTCTGCATGTCACTTGAAGAGGGCTGTCTGAAAGATCCATTACATCCTATTCCCTTGGTGTTATCGAAGGGCAACCAAAACAGAAGCATCCATGAATTGGGTTTTGAAAGAAAAACATTTATATAGAAAGGCCCTGTGAGGAAGCAAAATATAAAAATATAAAAGACTTCGCAGACAATGTCAATTGTCTGGCCTAGACGTTTAACTCTAAAAAGTCTGTTTGTTGAGTAATGGAAATTTCAAACCATGCTTCAGATGTAATAAGAGAGGTAATGTACTGGGTTCAAATCCCTCCTCTGATATATACCAGCTATGTGATCATAATCAAGTCATGTTACCTATCAGATCCTCAGTTTCCCTATGTGTAAAATGGGGTTAAAAAGCCCTGATTTTTTTTTTATTTATTGAGAAAATATTTGTACAGTCCTTAACACAGTGCTTGACATGTTTTAGGCACTAACTAAATGTTTATTGCCTTCCCTTCTTCATACATTCCCTCTCTCACAGGTTTGTTGAAAGCCTTCAGGAGCTGTAGGAAACACAAGTGAAAATGATGATGCCTCTCTCTGATCAATCTGTCAAGTAACAAACATAAATTAAGCACCTGCCTTACTCCAGGCACTGTGCTAGGGACTTAATGATAAAATAAAACAAGCTCTGCTGTCATGGAGAGTCCATCCTATTGGGGAAGACAACTTGTACATTTATACATTTATAAAGATGCACAAAATAAACATAGAAATGCAGCATCTGGGGGAAGGTGGGGAGGCACTAATAGCTGGAGAATCAGGAAAAGCCTAGTCTGGAAGGTGAGGCCTGAGCTATACTTTGAAGAAAACTAGGTGAAGAGATGCCAAGCAATTAATTCGATATCCTATGTGGGAGGGACTAAGGACATTTCAGATGCAAGTCAAAGTTGGCTCTAGGGAATATGATCTTAACACGATATGAAATTCTAAGATAATAGACTATAACTAATATAGCATCAATTGTAGAATAATAGAATGAAAAAAATATGTATAGTTGGGAAAGGGAAATTCAATCAATATTCTCTTGATCCAGTGATTTTTTTTCCCCAGCCTAGCTAATGAAAGTATAGAAGTTAGGCAACAAGTTATAGAGAAAATGGAGCATCAAAATCTTAAAGACAATACCAAAAACAAAAGTCTACACTTTGTTAGTCCTTTTGAAGCGTTAAGAGGTTGCCCTCAATGAAATTAGAGGGTTGCTAGTCTTTAGTTGCAAAGCGTCAGCCATGCCTCTAAAAAGTTACAATACACTTCCTAAGACAGGGTTTCTTAAACTTTTCCTGTTTCATGGACGCTTTTGCAGTCTGGTGAAGCCTATGGAAACCTTTCTCAGAATAATGGTTTAAAATGCATAAGATAAAATATGATATTTCATATAAAACCATCATATTGAAATATGTGAAGTAAATGTTTAGTTGTTTTTCTGCCATGTCTGACTCTTTGTGACCCCATTTGGGGTTTTCTTGGCAAAGACACTGGAGAGGTTTGCCATTTCCTACTCCAGCTCATTTTACAGATGAGGAAACTGAGGCAAATGGGTTAAGTGACTTGACCAGAGTCATATGGCTAGTAAGTGTTTGAGGCTGGATTTGAACTCAGAAAGAGGAGTCTTCTTGACTCCAAGCCAAGTGCGCTATGCACTGTTACCTAGCTGTCCTTGATATTATATACGTATGCATATGCATATATATGTTTATGTATATAATATACATGTACACATATATGTTTATGTATGTATACCATATGTGTACATAACTGTACATATATGCATGCATGCGTGTATGCATATATGCCTATGGATGCATTCTGTATTAAAAGTTTACAAGCCCAAGGTCAAGAACTTCTGCTCTAGGGAGCCAACAGAATATTTATTCTAGGGAGTCAAAATGGACAACAACTCTGAGGAGTGTGAGCTCTGGAAGTCAAGAAGAGAGCCATGTAAAGCAAGATGAACTTGATTGTTGAGAATAATTACTCCTTGCTTCTTGAAGGGAGGGATGATTTCTTTCTCCTCCTTTCCCCACCACTGTTCTTCATGTCTTGCAGCAGAACTAAATACCCGGTGGAGCTCAGAGCCAGCAAATCCTAGATGACCTGCCAAGCAAAGATAGTACACCCAAGAGGAAGGAGAATAAGGGTGCCATTAAGAAGGGAAATGGCATTTCATCCTGATAGGCATTAATCCCATCATCCATGTATGTTCCCTGTGTGAATGACTGTACAAACTCACTCTATCTTGTTGCTCTCATGATAAGTAATTTGGAACATTTTTCATACAATTGTCAATAACTTGTATTTATTTAAAAATGACTGTTCATGGCAGTTTTCATGAGAAGAAATAAAAACTATCAATAGTCACATGAAAAATGCTCTAAATCACTATTGATTAGAGAAAGGCAAATTAAAACAACTCTTTAATGCCACCTCATACTTGTCAGATTGCCTAACATGACAGAAAAGGAAAATGACAATTGCGAGAGGGGATGTGGAAAATGAGAGATACCAATGCACTGATGGTGCAGTTGTGAAATGATTCAACCATTCTGGAGAACAGTTTGGAACTGTGTGCAAAGGGCTATAAAGCTGTACATATCCTTTGACCCAGAAATAGCACTATTAGGTCTCAAAAGATCTCAAAGAGATCAAAGAAAAAATAAAAGGACCTCTACATATAAAAATATTTATAGCAGTTCTTTTAATGGTGGCAAAAAATTGGAAATTGAGGGTATGATCATCAATTGAGGAATGTCTGAACAAATTGTGGAATATGATTGTGACAGAATAGTATTGTACTGTAAAAAATGATGAACATCATGATTTCAGAAATACCTGGGAAGACTATATGAACTGATAAAAAGTGAAGTGAACAGAACCAAGGGAACATTGTGAAAGTAACAGCAATATCTTAATTGTGAACAACTGTGAAAGATTTAGTTACTCTAATCAATACAATGATCCAAGACAATTCCAAAGGACCCAGTAGGAAAAAAGCTATCCAACCTCCACAGAGAGAACTAATGGACTCCAAGTACAGATTCACCTTCTCTATTTTTCCTGCTTTCTTTTTTTTTTTTGGCAACATGGCTAATATAGAAATGCTTTATGTGAATTTACATGTATAATTGACACATTACTTGCCTTCTTGATGAGTCGGTGAGGGACAGGAGGGAGGGAGAGAATTTAGAACTCAAAATTTTGTAAAATGAATATCAATAAATAAATGATTTATTAAAATAAAGATGTCTGTTGATGTTATTAGACTAATTTGCTGAGGATTGAAATACGCATTCCTATCAATTTCTTGTATAGTTTGGATATGAAACTTTCATCAGAGAAAACTGGTATTAGATTTTTCAAAATTTACATAATCAAAATAGTCCATTTTATCTTCTATGATTGCCATTACCCATTGTTTAATTAATGATTGTTTCCCTAGCTATAGTTGTGAACTATATATCTTTCACTTCTCTAATTTGTTTTTGACATGATATTTAAGTTATGTATCCATTTGGAGCTACTATAATAGAAGGTATACAATATTGGTCTAATCTTCATTTGCGTAAGACTAGTTTTCTGTTTTCAACAAGGACAGGTCATGCCAGACTTTTCTTTTTTGATAGTTACTATTTTGGAAAATCATGGTATTGTTATTTGAGGAAAACATTTGATAAAGGTTTTTTTTTTAAATATTCATTTTCACGTGTTGGAGATTTTGCAGCTATATAGTCATAAAATTATTTGGATTTGGAATTAGTGGACTGATAGAGATATCAGGGGTCAACCTAGAGGGAGGTCTCTAGTGGCATGCACCACATATTCCTTCTGGCTCCATTCTTTTCAACATTTCAATCAGTGGTTGTTAAATGCAATATAGCCATCCATCCCCAATTTATGGTATTGGGGAAGGGTAAATTTTTGAATTTTATATTGTCAAAGTTCATGTTTCCAATAGGAGAACTCAAGAATTTTCTGATTTGCACTAGGTTCAAAGTTGAGAAATTGACTAGAAAAGCTCAGACTTTGTCAGGATCAACAGATATTTCTGATGTACAAATAGTCTCTAAAGAATAGAATCATATATGTAGATTTAGAAGGGATCTTAGAGATTATCTAAATTGCCCCCCTTTACAAATCAGGAAACAGAGGCCTAGAGATGTTACATGGTCTGTCTGTCACAGGCTATAAGTGGCAGGGTTAGGATTAGAACACATGGCTTTGAACTGAGTGCTTTTTCCCCTGTATTAATTATATCCTTAACGATTCTGATTGTCAATTCAATTTGCAGATGTTGAGACTGAGAACAAAATGCTTGTCACGGGTATATATCTGTTATTTTGAATATCATAGTCAAACATTTGGTGACTAAAACCTTGTTAATTTTAGGTACCATTGTTGTCTTGAGTAGAAATTTTTTCAAAGAACATGACCTAAAAAATAGCTTTCAAAGTGAAAATGCTTCAAGTGAAGAAAACAAAGGAGACTGATAGTGTAAATGATTCTGAATGTTAATTACGAATATTTGTGACAGAAAAGAGAATTTTCATGAAAATGTGATTTGCAAAATGATTCACAGTTTATAGTTATATTTATGGGTTCCCTCCCCATTCCCTCCCATCCCTTCCCCTCCCATTCATTTAAATACTCTCAAATTTGGATGCTATACCATTTGGTGCATATATGTCTAGTAATTATATTGCTTCATTGTCTATGGTGCCTTTTAGCAGGATGTAGTTTCCTTCCTTATCTCTTTTGATTAGATATATTTTTGCTTTTACTTTGTCTGAGATCAGGATTGTTACCCCTGCTTTTTTTACTTCAGCTGATGCGTAATATATTCTGCTCCAACCTTTTACCTTTACCGTGTATGGGTCAACCTTCTTCAGATGTGTTTCCTGTAAACAACATATTGTAGGATTATATTTTTTAATTCATTTTGCAATCCGTTTCCATTTTATGGGAGAGTTCATCCCATTCCCATTCACAGTTACGATTGCTATCTGTGTCTTTTTCTCCATTCTTTTTCCCTCATTTATGTTTTTCTTTCTCCTTTTTCCTTTCCCCCCTTCACTAGTGTTTTGCTTTTGACCACCACCTCCTTCAATCCCTCCTCCCTTTTATTATCCCTTTCCCTTTTCTTCCCCTTTACTCTTACTGCTTCTTCCCTCCCTTTTCTTTCCCCCCTCCCTTTTCTTTCCCTTTTTCCCTCCTACTGCCTATTGGGCAAGTTAGAGTTCTATACCTAACTGATTATGTTATGCCCTTCTTGAACCAAATCTGATTAAAGTTCAAACAATGCTCCCTCCCTCCCTTCTTTCCCTCTGTTGTAACAGGATTTTATGTCTTTTCCTGTAATGTAATTTAGCCTTGTCTGCCTCATCCTTTCTCAGTACATTTTCCAAAATCAGATTGATCCACTTATTTGGATCCATTTACCCCATTTGATTAGAAGTTCAGGGAGTTATAGGGAGAAATAGCAAAACTATAGCAGTGGGGGACCTGAGCTTCCCCCTTTCTGCACTAGATAAATCTAACCACAAAATAAACAAGAAAGAAGTTAAGGAGGTGAATAGAACATTAGGAAAGTTAGGTATGATAGACCTCTGGAGAAAATTGTATGGGGATAGAAAGGAATATACTTTTTTCTTGACAGTACACGGCACATACACAAAAATCGACCGTATACTAGAGCATAAAAACCTCACAATCCAATACAGAAATATTAAACACATACTTTTCAGATCATGATGCAGTAAAAATTATATGTAATAAAGGGTCATGGAAAGATAGACTAAAAAATAATTGGAAACTAAATACTCTAATCCTAAAAAATGAATGGGTCAAATGACAAATCATAGAAACAATCAATAATTTCATTCAAGAGAATGACAATAATGAGATAACATACCAAAACTTATGGGATGCAGTGAAAGCAGTTCTTAGGGGAAGTTTTATATCTCCAAATGTTTACATAAATAAAATAGAAAAAGAGGAGATTAATGAATTGGGCATACAACTAAAAAAACTAGAAAAAGAACAACTTAAAAATCCTCAACTCAACACTAGATTAGAAATATTGAAAACCAAAAGAAACATGAATAAAATTGAAATTAAGAAAACTATTGAACTAATAACTAAAACTAAGAGCTGGCTTTATGAAAAAACCAACAAAATAGATAAACCTTTGGTTAATTTAATTAAAAAAAGAGAAAGAAGAAAACCAAATTACTAGTATCAAGAATGAAAAAGGTGAATCTACCACCAAGGAAGAGGAAATTAAAACAATAATTAGGAAGTATTTTGCCCAACTATATGCCAACAAATTTGACAATCTTTGTGAAATGGATACATATCTACAGAAACATAAATTTCCCAGATTAACTGAAGAGGAAGTAAAACACTTAAATAACCCCATCTCAGAAAAATAAATTGAACAGGCCATTGATGAACTAACTAGGAAAAAATCTCCAGGGCTAGATGGATTTACATGGGAATTCTATCAAACATTTAAAGAACAAATAATTCAATACCATATAAAGAAAGAAAATTATACACCAATTTCTCTAATGAATATAGATGCAAAAAATTTAAACAAAATACTAGCAAATAGATTGCAGCAACTTATCACAAGAATAATACACTATGACCAGGTAGGATTTATACCAGGAATGCAAGGTTAGCTCAATATTAGGAAAACTATCAGCATAATTGAGCATATCAACACCAAAACCAACAAAAACCACATGATCATCTCAACAGATGCAGAAAAAGCTTTTGATAAAATACAACACCCATTCTTATTAAAAACACTAGAAAGCATAGGTATAAATGGCGTCTTCCTTAAAACAATAAATAGCATTTATCTAAAACCTTCAGCAAGCATTATATGTAATGGGGACAGGCTAGAAGCATTTCCAATAAGATTGGGGGTGAAACAAGGATGTCCATTATCACCACTGTTATTCAGTATTGTACTGGAAACCTTAGCTTTAGCAATAAGACAAGAAAAAGAAATTGAAGGCATTAGAATAGGCAAAGAAGAAACAAAACTATCACTCTTTGCAGATGACATGATGATCTACTTAGAGAATCTTACAGAATCAAGTAAAAAACTACTTGAAATAATAAACAGCTTTAACAAAGTTGCAGGCTATATAAAATAAACCCACATAAATCATCAGCATTTCTATATATTACCAACAAAGCCCAACAGCAAGAGATAGAAAGAGAAATCCCATTTAAACTTACTGTACACATTA